AAGCACGAGAAAAGGTAGAACAGAAAAAAAATTGACACACACCTAAAGGAAAACAACAAACTCGAAATGTGTGTTGTGTTGTATTGTGGTTTGGTTTGGTTCGGACTTGCCTGCTCTTTATATATATATATGTATAAAGATGAGAAAAAAATTACTAGTTGTTTATTGAAAAAGTATAAACATAATTTTTTGATGTTTTACTCGTTTTTATATAATTTCAATTCATTTTATATTTGTGGATTCGTCACCCCCAAACATATACTAACCATATATCCCTAGCTACACTATTATAAATTTGAGAACGTTTTGTCTTTTCTCCTACCTAAGAGTATTAAAAAAGAGCCATTTCATAAAAGGCAAATTTAATATTCGTTGAACTTACTTTCGCATTTGTCCATTTTTGTAACAAGATCGTTTTTTTTTTGTGATGTTATATAGACGAAATAAGATCTAAACAAAACTTCTTGTAATGAAATATGATATATATAGTGTGTATATATTTTTGTCGATAAATTGCAGAGATGTAAATCTTTATTGTGTTGGTCGAGCCTACTAATGGACTCATTTCGATTACAACCTACGTTCAGTTATATATTCGGTGATTATCTTTAAAAAATTATCATATAAAACAGATTACCTAACACAAAAAATCTAATTCAATCATTCTTCGTCGGCCTAATTCAAACTTTTTATCGCTCACAATTTGGACGAGAAATTACTTAACAATAGGGTGGTGTGTTAGGTTCGCTATATCACTTCGGTAACCGACAATATAACATCATAAAACAACACAATGTTTAGTAATAATGCCATGTCTTCTTTCAACCAATGGTCGGTTCCTTTTTTAATAGCTTTTCAATCAAATATTTGGCTATATGAATTGTTTGAATTTGTATTTCGAGAAAATTGTAATTAATTATATCAGCTGACGATAATTTGTTTCATAGTTACTCCAAAACAGGTCCAAAAAATCATTAAAATACACACGATAATTTGTTTCATAGTTACTCCAAAGCAGGTCCAAAAAAATCATTAAAATATACACGATCGTGACGTCTTATAAATAGCGACCGACGAACTAAGCAAAACCCTAAGGAAACAGAAGTGGAACATCGAACAATCTCGACCACTTAACCCACTATGTGGTCCGTATCACACGGGCAATAACATTTGTGTGAATACATCACACATGCCGGCCAATTTATCATTCGGATTAATAAAATAAAATCTGTGACCAGGTCGTGATATAATTATATTTTTTTCCACAAAATGGTTATAGAGAGACGACCCTTTCCGTACTGATGAACCATTCAAAACCTGACACGTGGCAGATATCTGACGGATCTATATATTCTGACAAGAGTCACTTACCCCTCTAGATATGTGGTGACGTGGCGGTCGTACACAAAAAGTCGTGGGGACACTTGTTGATAACTTATCCTTGTGTGTTGTTCGGTCATTGGTCGGTGTCTCTGTGTTGGCTATAAACCTCAAGACCAATACAAAGTCAAGACCGGCCGGCCAAAGTGCGGCTAGTTATGGATTAAGCGGTCCATTACATATAGTTTGCTAATTAATAATTATTCACCTAAACATTGACATTATCTTTGAATTTCACACACAAAAGAAAACGAAAATGCAATGTTTTTACCCGAAACATTCACATTATCTTTTGATCAAATGTAATTGAGTGATATTGACGAGTAGTTTCGTCGTAATGTTAATACACGTAACCTATGGAAACAATAAATTTAAGCCTTTGCTCCGGTCCTCGACATGAGGAAGTGTATAAACCTAGGTTCAGAACCTCTTATTTATTTAAAAAAAATTAAGCATAAATTTATTTCACCATTCTGTTTAGGTATTAAGTGATAAAAAATGTCCAAATTTATGATAGTATGGATTATGATATAAGATGATTCCGATTATAATCGATAAGATGATATAAAATGTCCAAATTTATAAGAGTTTAGAAATATCGAATCATTTTTGCCTTTATATTGTTTTTATAGATGTAGATGTAGACCTAATAATTAGAAGTGGAAGAGTTGGTACGACATACTTTCTTCAATGCAGCATAGATTCATACTAATCTTGACAAGAAAACAAATGTAAAAAGACATAATCACTAACATCTTCCTTTGTTGGTACAAACTACAAAAAGTGACTATACCATCTTTACAAAAGAAGAGGATAAGAGATCTTAATTAAGATAGCACACTCTTAGAACTTCGTTCTACTCCATGTAGCTTTCACTAGATACGTTATATTTTGCAATATATACTTTGTTACCAACTTTTCTTGTGGGATTTCAAAAGGTTATGTGGGGCAGGTTCTATACCAAAAATGTTGCATGTATATTGTTTATATGTAATAGTTTGATTTAATTTAACATATGTATTGAAAAAAATTTATATATCTTAATAAAATTCTATGTATTTAGATAGAACTCTATTATATGTTAATAGATTTTTATGTATGAATAAATATAATTCAATGTATAATATAATTAGATAGAATTCCATGATATGTTGATAGATTTCTGTATATGTTTAAATAAAAATTTATCATATGTATTGATAGAATTTTTATGTATCCTTAATAGAATTCTATGTATTTAGATAGAATTCTATCACGTGTTAATAGATTTCTATGTATGATTAGATAAAAATTAACATATGTATTGATAAAAAAAAAATTATCTTCGAATAGAATTCTATATATGTATTTAGATAGAACTCTATCATAAATAATAGATTTTATGTATGAATAAATATAATTCCATGTATAATTAGATATAATTCTATGATATGTTGATAGATTTCTATGTGTGATTAAATAAAAATTTAGAGAAATTTCAAAAATGCCATTTTTCAAATGTCATTTTACAAAAATGCCACACTTTTGAAATCTTTACAAAAATGCCACTTTTTCAAA